ATTTCAAACAAACCACCACTACTTTACCATTACCAAAACCCACCACCACCTCTCATCACCACAACCACCATTTTCAACAAAACCACACTGCAACCGCCAATCCTACAAAATCGCCGCCACACAAACATCACCGCTGCCGCCACACACACCACCCAAATCTCTGTTGCACCGTCGCGCCACCACCACAACGACCATCACATCAAACATCACCCCCATAACAGCACAACCCAAACACCAACAACAAAATAGATCCAAAAGCACCACCACAGCGACAACCACCATCGCATCACCACCAGCAACACTACCTTACCATGACAGAAACCTACCCCAAAATCACTGAAGCATCGAAAACCAGATCCAAAATAGGAGACCATCACCTTACCACCACCCCCGATCCACTAGCTCAGGCGTCGATTACGAAGAGAGGAGGTCATTCGCCAATCATAGATTTTGCTTCGCAACTACTGCTTCTGCGCTGCTAGTCTTCGGCGATTAGATCTTGAAATGGATAGTGGGCGGGTGGCGACGGCACCACACGAAACACCACTTCGCTCGCCGATCGTAGATCTGTTTCGCAGATGCTAGTCCTATGCTGCTGGTCGTCGGAGATTACTGTTAAAATGAATAGGCGGCGGGCGAGAGCACAGAGAGAGAGAGAGAGGCGATAATAGGCGAGGGAATTGAGAGAGAGAGAAGGATTTGGGATTGATATAATTATGTTACATAATTAATTTTTAAATATATTAATTAATTAAAAAAATTCTTAATTTGTGAAATATTAAACATTGCATCTTATTTATGAAATGGAGATTTTTAATCTATTAGAATATGTAATTTCCACTTAAATTATTGCATGGTATCTCTTCACAATACAAGGGAAGCCCATATCCAGTTTGTTATCCCTTCAGGCCCATAGTCCGTTAAGAGAGTTCAATAGTTGACCCAAGTGAAATGAGCTCCAAAAGTTCAATAATTGTAGATAAAGACAATTCATTCATTACAAATCTGTTTCCTAGGAAAAATACTTTAGTAGGACGTCGCACCATCCACGTGGTGCAACCGTTCTATAAATGAGGGCCACCTCAACGAGTGGCCCACCTCACACCCCGAGGTGTGTAGATCCCCCACTGAGGTGGCGTGGTGCGATCGTCTTACTGAAATATTTCTCATTGCATAGGTAGCAAAGAGTCTGCAAAAGCTAAAATGTTCCATCCACTTTGGTTTTTTTGGCACGCTAACCTCGGCAACTTGTCTCCATCAAAATTTAATGCCCATGTGGAAAAAGTTGGATCAAAGTTAGACAATGAACGATGGTTATTTGGTGGTTCTTTTTTCTTCCTTTTTTTTTTTTTTTTTTTCCTTTTTTTTTTTTTTTTTTTCCTTTTTTTTTTTTTTTTTTTCCTTTTTTTTTTTTTTTTTTTCCTTTTTTTTTTTTTTTTTTTCCTTTTTTTTTTTTTTTTTTTTTTTGTAGTGCCGGTGGTTGCCTCAATGGAGATTGCAAAATATCATTTGTTGTAAATGCAATCACAAATGAAAGATTTTTTTAGTTGAGCATTTGATCGAGCATCTTTAGCCCACCGTTTGAGCCCTATTATTTCTCATTACATTAAATTAAATTTTTATCTCTCCTATTTTTAACCACATAATTTTTCATAAAATAATATTACACGTAAATCAAAAAATTTTCAACCACTCATTTTTCAAAAAAATACTATTCATCTCATTATAATCTACAAATAATTGGGCTCAAACGGGGCTTAATACAAAGCTGATTTCTAAATTCTTTGGAAGAACTAACAATTCAACAAGCCTTTCTCTAAGAAGGATGTCTTCATGTGGAGCAATAAGGTCATCAATGCATCAACAACTTGCAGTTCGAGGCGAAGGTGAGCTTCCACTGGTGTGATCGAAGATTTAAGCTGGTGCGATTTTGTTTCTACGGCATAATCAACTGATCTGGGTGTCTGAAAATGCCATCGCCTCGATGGCCTTTGTCAGAGTCGAGGACAAGCTGCGTGTCCTCGATATTTACTATTGGAGTTTGTAAGGCTTTAATGGCAACAAATGGGGACAAAACTCAACCTTGGTTTTCATTTCTTTCATGTGCGTTTGTATTTCATTTGGTATTGATTTGTTCCCAAAAAAATTAGTGAATGCTGACAACATGGGGAGCAAATTGAGCATTATTGAATAAACCCACTGATGGATTTTTGTTGAATTAATCCCAATTTTATTGACTTTCCTTCTTGTTGTCTGCCATTCTTGTTTCTCCTCGGTGATTGACCTCCTCAATTTTTTCGGTGAAGGAACTGCCCGGGAAAACTACATTTTCAATAGCCTTTTGTATGTGGTAGAATATAATTAATGTATTGTTTTTCACAAACAACGCCAATCTGTTGACCCTAAAAATGTCGTCAACAGATCTCCGATCTCGTCCTTTCCACCCCTGCACACGAAACACCCCGTTAAGAGACAAAGGCCATCGGTCGAGAAAAAAGATCTGACGATCATTTACACTCCAACAGTCAAGTCAACGACCTGACAAAATATAACGAAAGTGCAAGAGTCGGGATGAGGGATTGGCTAGGGTTGTGAAAACAGACCTTAAAATGAAATGGATCGCACATGTATAGAAAATGTAACGGACCATGTGAGGCTTGAGGCTAATGGGGCCAAGTTCAAGCCCAACCCAATAGAAAGGCCCAATATGAATATTTTATAGGTATAACATAAGTAATGATTCAGCTACAATGCAAAAGAATGGTATTATTAATATAATGTGCTCTTATGTGATTACACAAGATGTTTCGTTGTTTCTATGTGCGTGGAATATGATGTTACTGCTAGTAGAATATGATTGAATATTCGGAATATAATTCGACTACATAATGTTGTTATTAGTGTACATGAATTTTCTTACGGGTGCATACGATACTAATAAAATAACATTAAAAATATACATTATTTAAAATATATCTATAACAAAAAATAATGGTTTATTTTCTTTTGACCTTTTGGTTTAATTTGGAATTATTTAGAAGTTCCAAAGTTTTATTCAATACATCTTTTAACTTATCGTAAAAGTTGGAAGTAGAACCGTTCAGAAAATTCGAAAACCTTAGGGGTTGTTCTCTTTTTGTTTGAGTTTTTAGTTTTGAGTGTCTGTTTTGAAATTGTTGAAAATACGTTCTTTTTGTCATTTTGAAAAAATATTTCTTAAAACATGAAAATTGAAATCACGTTCTTTTTTTTCATTCATTTTCTCTTCTCCAACCAAGGATATTTTCGCCCCCTCCAACTGTCATCGTCTACCTCGCAAATTGACCACCATCCACCACCTAGACCACCAGATCCCAACATCACTCAAACCCCCTCACCTTCCCCTAGTGGCAAGGCCACACTTGGCCAAAACAATTTACCTATGGCTGGACAAGATTCTAGATGAAATTGGCCAAAGCAATTTACCCATGGCTTGCAAAATTCGTCAAGTTTTGTGCAAAATTGGGGTTGACCCATGGCTGGACAAGTTGCACCAGGTGAAGAGGAGTTCAACCCATGTGGTCCGCGACCATGGGTCGATCGAACGGCGCCGAAATCTGCAACATTCGAATTATGTTGAACGGGCTTCGCAATTGGTTTGTTTTCGGGTTTAATTCAGATTATCGAATTGTTGTTTGTGGTAAATTGGGGCCATGGTTGGGGTCGGTTTGTGGTAGGCAATGGACTGGTGGTGGTGCGCAACCTTGGATGTTGTCGAAGATGGAGATTCCGGCAGAAAAGATGTGTGCGACATTTATTTTTTGGGCTGGATTTTTTGTTGCTTCCTGTTGATTTGTGGCTGGTAATTGATTGGATATTGTAGAGAGGAATGAGGCGAGGCTGATGGTGGTTGGATTCGGTGGTTTTGACAGTCGGAAGGTGGTGATTTGTGACAATAACACCGGCGGTTGCTCTCGGTTGAGGAGAGGGCCGTTTCTCGTGTTTTTGAGTTTTGCTATGTTTTTTGAAGAAAATACAAAATGATCACAATTTTTTTTTATTTTTTTTTTACATTTTCGAAAACTGGAAAGAGAATGTGTTTTCACCGTTTTCAAAAACTGAAAACAAAAAAAGGTCCCAAAACGAAAAAGGAACACACCCTTAACTTCTCAAAAACAACTTAAAAAGCTTCTTCGTGTACATTTTTACTACAACTAATCAATCACTATTCAATCAGAAGTGTTTTTTCAGTTCCAAATAGGGCTTCTAGGCTTTCAAAAAACACTCAAACAATCTTTTAGCACTTAGGTAAAAGTAGGCCTCGATGAAGAATAAAGTTATTTGTACAATTATTGTTGACAATTGTGGATGATACTATTGATGTTGTCAAAATTTGGACTGTTAATTTAAAAAATGGTTTTTAAAATAGATAATGTGATGTTGTCAAGCGTGTATTGTCAATTGACATTGTAAAAAAATACTGTACAAATAGTATGATTGCTCTATGAATGCCTATCAATTCTTTAGCCATGTTTGATGGCATGTAATTCCAAACTCTTTTTTCTACATATTTATTTTCAAATACAAATTTACGTGATGAAATATTATGTATATAAACTTAAAACTTGTCTCTATTTTTTAATCACGCATTCTTTAAAAATTCAATATCCAAAACATTTTTTTCCCCAAACAATGACCATCAAATAAGGGCATCTCATTTCATCAATAATACATCAAATAATTTTCTTCCTTTGCTCAACAGTAGATTAACAAAACATAGTTGTTCTCTATTCATTTTTCCGGCTTCAATCGACTGGAGTTCTTGAATTGCTGCATATCCTAACAGACATTAATAAAACTGGCAGTTGTAATTAAGGCCCGAGTGTACATGCCTTTGTAAGACAAGGATTAAAATTTATTACCTGTTAAGAAATTCTTACCATTAAATAAGTAACTTATATTTCTGATTTTAAGCAATAAAATAAATTCTTAAAATTTTCTTATAAGTAAATTTTTTAAGCTTAATCAAACATGCAGTTAGCTTCACATTTCTTTGGCAATATGGAACAGGTTTTCCAACATTATACTTTACATTATGATACTAAACATAATTGCAGAAAATTTATATGTCTACCATATAAATACTGTCATCCTTGAAGTGAAACACTTCTCTCCTTTTAAATTGCTTGGAGAATGACTTGAACCCCATGTTTTGGAGTAAGAATGAAAATATCAGCAGGGCAGTGGACATAATTAGGAGATAACAAGAATTTGTAACGCTGCAGAATCATTGAAAGTGCAATTTTGGCTTCATTGGTGGTGAAGTTTAAGCCTACACAAGTTCGAGGCCCCACCCCGAAGGGAAAGAATGCAGCAACATTATTGTTTGTAGCTTTAGCAACTCCCCCGGCAAATCTCTCTGGTTTGAATATATGAACATCTTTGCCCCAGATTTGAGGGTTGTGATGCAGTGCCAGAATTGAAATGAAGATGTTGATATTGCCTGGAAGGTTCAGATTCCCTAGTTTAACTCCCTGCTGTACTTTTCTTGTTAAAGTGAGAACTGGAGGATATAGTCTGAGACACTCGTTGATAATCATATTCATCTACATGTCAAAAAATAATATGAAATTAATAAACTGTACCGGCCTACTGAGCATGAGTTATTTGTGATCTTCGTCAAACACTTTAGAAGAGGGCTAACATGGTCGATTGTGATTGCTAAAGAAAGAACTACTAGAAATAAACTAATCGAAAAGGCGAAATAAAAATTTTTAACTGACAAGAACATGTAGTTTGCTATTTTATTAGTAACTAGAGAAAGAGTGATATGATCTTAGTAAAATAGGTTAGCTAGGTAGGGGTAGATGTAGTAGTAAATCCCACGGAGTCGTATAAAAGGATTCACGATGCCAACCCCAAATGTAAAGGGAATAAGGGGAATAAGGCTTACTATTTTCATTCGTGCAATGCCATCTGAATTCGGTTTTTCACTGCTAAATATTCCAAACACCTCTTCTCTTGCTTTCTCTTGCCAATCAGTATGGATTGCCAGTAGAAAAATACACCATGAAAGTAAGCTTGTAGTTGTAAGATGTCCAGCACCATACATTGCTTTGATCTCATCAATCATCTGTTCAATTGTAATCCTCTTTTTTGTATCAGCTTCATGAAAAATTTTCAACAGTTGTCCAAGATAATCACTTCCGAAATCTTCAAATTCTCCGTTATTTTTCACTTTTTCCCTCTTCTTTACAAGCTCAAAGATGGAACTTTTTATTCCTTCTTTGAGTTTCTCTGCTTTGATCTCATCATCTGACTTTAATAGCATACTGCAGATGTTTACAAAAACGGATGATCAATTAGTCATAAAATTTTAGTTGCATTATTTGAATATAATATTTTGAATATATAATAGAATGATGATGCTTGTACATAATGAAATTACATAATAATTTACATACAGATGAGATGCCTAAAAAAGAGTAGTGCAGTTCCTTTTTTCTTTTCTTTTTTTCCCTTAATCTAGATGAAGAAATTATGCCCAATCACATCTCACCACATTATGTGTATGTAAACCATTACTTAAATCATTATGTACATAGAGCACAACCGTATGTAACATACCTTATGCCAGGAAATCTGACTCTGTAAATATTTCTAACAGTTATTTCTGTCAACTTTGCCACCATCTCAAATATATGGCCTCCTTCGATGTAGCTACTTCCGAATGCTGTCCTTGAAATTACTTCGGTTGTTAACAATCCAAACTCTTTAAACACGTCGATCTCTTCTCCGATATGACCTTTCCACCTCTCAAGCAGCATCTCAACGCCTGAACTCATTTCCGGAACCATACTCTACATAAAGATAAGCCCTTCACATTAGAAGCCATAATATGGTACAAAAAGAAGCGAAAATATTGTTCATTATATTATAAAGTCTAGTACGGCGTCATATCAAATATGCACATAATTTCTAAGATATACCTTTAGACTCTCTGCATGGAAAGTATGGTTTGCCAGTTTCCGTATCTTTGCCCATTTTTCACCCTCATTCGTTATAAGAGATTCACCTAGCAGGTTCTTAGCATGCCCTTCCATTTCCATTTTCGGGTAGAAACCTTCTCTATTCATCAGTATTTCTTTGATTAGCTCTGGCTCTGTCACAAACAACTGTGCTTGTGACCCATGCCAATTAAGAAAATTCATCCCTGTCAACAAGAAAGTAAAACATTCAAGTAAGAGATTAAATTTACACAGAGCTTTTCCACCACTATGCTCAGTTCATTGCTGAAATCAAATAAGAAAACAAGAAATTCTAATAAGAAGCTAAATTTACCATAAGTTTTCGTCCACGAATAAATATGAGGCTGTATTCTAGGAAATATACTGTGTGACATTTCCATTGGCTTTTCCATAGATTGGCTCCTCATTTTAGAGATTTCTTTGGTACTCCCATGAGGAAATCTGTATTGAGGACCTCTGATTCCCTGTGATTTCATCATAGTCTGTAGTTGAATTGGAGTCCGCCATACCTTATCAATGAATCTAATTAGAATCAGAATAAAATGGAAGCATAAAGTACTGCAAATAGAGAATAATATAACTGTAACTAAATCCATTTTTCATTCAATCTTGAAGTTCCCTGGGATTGTATATGTACTAGACTTTTGGCCATGGCTAGGGTGCCAGGAATCTGTTGGTTAGAAATATAGGACACATAAGTCCAATTCCCAGCTTTGGCTTCATTAGAGAAACTGTAGATTGAATGGGAACTTTATTCAAGAAAAAACTGATTACACAGTTGAGCAACGGAGACGGGCTTTAATTGAGTTTTAGGCCGTGGACCACATTCATTTATTATGTTTTCAGAGATAATGAGAGTTTTGGAGCAATGGATGAGTCCAATTCATCCGAGATCGACGAGTACAATAATTGCCTATATTTTGGTTTAGTAATAATTAAACTTAGTATATAATGAAGACTGAAAGACAAGATGAGATCATGGATTTCGTCACGCAAAATTTTTCATTAAAATATGCAAGATTCTAGAGTGAAAAAGCCATCCGCTTGACCCCTTGATCATGGACGTTATTCGAAATCTCAGCAACCCGAAGAATTCAAAGTTTGATTAGAAGCCCCCTTTTTGCTAGTCGTCTCTATGATCTATGAATTCTCACTCCTTAGGCATTGCATAATTAAAGTTAACGGTAAAAAACATGAAATATATGCCAAGAATTGGTGACAAACTATTACATATTGGTATTGGATAGTATTTGCCTATGAGTAGGGATGTCAAACGGGTCGAATGGCTACTCTACTCAATAAAACTCAACTCGTCAAATGACGAGCCCGAGCACAAGCCGAGCAGGGGTGGGAACCAATGAGTAGAGTGCTTGGTTCGTAAAGTTCACGAGCCCTCGGCTCGTGGGCTCGTAAAAAGTGTGAAGAAAAGTTTGAAAATTGCCAAAAAATAATAATAATAAATTAAAAAAATAAAAAATAAAAAATCTATAGAGCTCATGGCTCGTGAACACACGAGCTCGTGAGCCGAGCCAAGCCAAGCTCACCCCTTGAGCACGAGCCGAGCTCGGCCCATTGTCATCTCTACTTATGAGTAAATATATCAGTAATCGTGATATTTTGAAATAAAATATAATTTATTTCGATGTAATTGAGTGCATTGATTTGAGCTTGCATTTGTTTGTATATTAGTTTGATAGTAGAAAGCGAGTGTACGGGTTATTAAAGTAGGAAAGATTTGATTTAAAAATTTGAAGTACAAGATTGATAAATTAAGACAAACACTTTGTTTTGATAAGTCCATGATCGATAAACAAAGATGAAAACTTTACTTTGATAAGATTGTCTCGATTTTATTAAAGTCTATCTTTGATTGTAGGAAGATTGAGAGTACTTTTTGAATGTAATTGACTAGATCACGAGAAATCTAATTTGTGATATTGATCATACAAATTTCACTTGACTATCATATATGGGAATTCAGTCATAAACGGGTAACAAACTTTGATTACTAACTTAAACTTATTTCAGGTATCAATAGGTGAGATCAAATTGTTGATCAATATTTCATTGCCTTAGATATTAAAATGAATTAACAGGGAACATATATATGTAATATGAAATCATCATTTATCTAATGGGTACGATCATGATCTCACAAGATTTTCTATTAGACATTCAAATCTGAGTTTAATAATTCAATATTAATTGTTGAATTAATATCGTGACGTGATCACATGATATTTTTAGATAAAAAAAATTAAAAAATGGAACTTGAGAATCTTTGAATATTTGGAAAGCACATTTTGGTTATCTCTACCTTGTTCTATATATTTGAAATGGTCGACGGGTGTTATGTAAAAACGATATATAAGATAATATAAATATGTGCATGTTTGGTTTAAATTAAAATATGATTTTAATGTAAGTCAAAGTCAAACAATCAATATTAATCAAATCTTTCATAAATTTCACAACTTTTTAACCACGCATTTCAAAAACTTTTATCACAATCTACTAAAAATCTAATTTTAATTCCCACCAAACATTCAGTTTCAATCGTTTCAATTAGATTGATCGTGCAATCTTGTTCTTTAATGGAATAGAACGAGATTAACTAGTTCTTTTGATCCATCAAGAGATAATCGGGGTCAAATTTAATTTAATGGAGCTTAGTTTAATTGGATCCGATGAGATCCCTTTAATGGCTTCAAAATAAGAATCGTGATAAATTATATTAGAAGAGTTATAATTTATTGTAGATTGTAGTGGACAGGGACAGATCAGGATTAGATCCAAGATCAGGCTACAAAATTTCAAGCCGGGTTAATACGCGAAAAAAAAATTACAAAAAAAAAACTAATTTTGCAAAAAAAAAAAAAAATGAAAAATGCCTTACCAAAAAAAATAAAATTCTTGGGCCTTGCGGGGGACTACAACCCAGCCCAGCCCCCCCTCCCCCCCCCCACCCCCCCCCC